TGGATTAGAAATAAACTGGGAAAAATCAGAAGTGATGTTATATAACCATAGTAAAGAAGAAGTGGAGGTATTGAAATGGAAATATAAATTAAAAATAGTAGATAGTATTAAATATTTAGGTATTGACATCCCAGGGGACACGGTGGCTCAGTGGTTAAGACACTGAGCTTGTCAATCAGAAAGGTCGGCAGTTCGGTGATTCAAATCACCAGTGCCACATAAGGGAGTGAGCTCCTGTTACTTGTCCAAGCTTCTACCAACCTAGCAGTTCGAAAGCATGTAAAAATGCAAGTAGAAAAAATAGGAACCAACTTTGGTGGAAAGGTAACAGTGTTCCATGCGCCCTCGGCATTTATTCATGCCGGCCACATGACCACAGAGATGTCTTTGGTCTGGCTCTATGGCTTTGAAATGAAGATGAGCATTGCCCCCTAGAGTTAGGAACGACTAGCACATATGTGCGAGCAGGGACATGCAGTCAGGGGAGGCAGGGGAGGCGGGGGAAAAGAAAAGAAATTTTAAAATAATTAAAAAGGCTAAGGTAGTTGCTGCCAGACTCCAGAGTCACAGTGACTNCTTGGATAAAATTGGCAATGGCAAATGGTCCTGCCTTTTGCTCCCTATTTGGCTAAAGACTTTCCATTTAAAAAAAAAAGATTGGTCCGTTATAACAATCTTATTATCATGTTAAGCAGAAAGTACAAGTTTCACCACGGTAGCAAGGGGGCAAACAGCATATTTAATTAAATGAACCCAGATAGGTCATAGAAAAGGATTGCATTTCTGCTTATGAAGAAAGAGGAAACCTGAATGAAATGGTTTCAGCCTTAAAACACACCAAGCCAAAGATAGCTTATCTGTCATACATGATGGCTTGATAGACCCTATGATTCCCCCCCCCCACTGCTGACAGACAGCAAATATGAGAGATTTATTATTTGTCAATATTTTAGCAATAAATACTTCGTGAAGTGCATCTGCCTTCATGATTAGCCTTGAAGAGTCGAATTACACATAATATCTATCAAATATCAATATAAAAAGCAAGAATAAAATACTGCCATTATTTAGGTAGCCCTTTCAGGAGCAATATTTCTATGACACATGACACTGACAAATTAAACAGGATGGTTTTGAGATACTTTTAAAACCTGTTTATTCAATTGTATATTGGAATGTAACCACTTGGTTTAGCGTGGTACGCTTCCTAGGAACAAATGAACACAGAACTAAGAGATCTAGAAAACAAAATGCTGAATATGTAAGAAAGGCAATTCAGTATATTTGAAATAGTAATAGAGTTAAATTGCTTTTATATTATCAGGATTCCAAATGCATTTTTCCTCCTCCCAATCCTTGTTTCCCGCATTAAACTTCACAACCATTTTTTGGCCAGCTGAAACATTAGGCTTCATGAGTGAGCAATTGTAACAATCTTACAGGGCAAAAACTTTGCGATTGCACTCTTATGCACCTTCAGATAAGTTCATGAAAACCAGAGGGATTTATTTCTCAGCAAACATAGATCGTATATAGATTGCACAGTTAGAAGTTAAAGGGTCACACTATATGAATATTTTATCTCAGCACCACCATTCTGGCACACAGAATACATTCTCCAACTCATCCTCCAGCTGTTTTTCCCATCTTAATATTCTGACCTCTTTTATGATGATTTTTTTTTCAGGGATAGTTGGCTATACAGCTGTACAAGGTAAACAGACTTCAGCCTTGAGCATTATAGTTTGTGGGAATGATTTCAGCTTCTACCTGTGTTGATGCATTTAGGAGCAGAGGATGCCTGGGGGGGCTCCTTATGGGAGCTGCATCTTCTCCTGGATTGTAACAGTAAACATATGTTCCCCAGGAAAATACAGAGTTGAATTAAGTAGGATTAAGAGGATGCTGCAAGGGAGGGTCACCTTTCCTTCTTCAGTTCAAATATGTATTTTGCTGGTACTATACATTTACTAAAGGAGTGTGGCAAGTCTGCATTTTTTAAAAGAGGCATCAATAAGTGCTGGGACCACATATATATACTGCAATGCGCCTTTTCCACTTCAGATCCTAAAAATGATAAACTGCCATCCTGTTTCCCTAAAAATAAGACTTCCCTGGATAATAAGCCCAATCGGGCTTTTGAGTGCATACACTAAAATAAGCCCTCCCCCACAAATATTGCAACACAGCAGCAGCCATGAGGTGACCATGCTTGCCGCCTCATACACCTCAAAAATAATAAGACCTCCCTGAAAATAAGGCCAAGTGCTTATTTTGGGGGTCAAAAGAAAATAAGACCCTGCCTTATTTTCGGGAAAACACGGTACTAAGTATAGATGGAAGTTTTAATTTCTAATAGAAATTTTGCTAGAAAGCCAGCTAAAGGGACAATATTTGTGAGCAAGAAATTCATAGGAGTGTGTTTGTGTGTGTGTGTGTGTGTGTGCATGCGTGCATGTGTGTGTGTATATATTTATATTTTATATTACATTAAATGTTTAAATTGCATGCCATTTTCTTTTAAATTCTTTCTAATTTATTTGAAGCATGACCTTTGAACATTCCTAAATACAGTGACATTTTCTCAGAAAAATAAATGATAAAACATATTGCTATTAGTCTGACTTTTGGTACACTCTCTATGTGTAAAGATGAGAGGCCATAAAATTATTTTTTAAAGTAATTTTAAACAATGTTCTTTTTTTGCTCCAATCTAGTCAATGACAGATGTTTAATGGAATCTTGCAGGCAAAACTAATATGGAACTTATACCATTTTGCTTGATGCAATAAAAATATGCAAGTTTTTCTAGAGTTTTCAGATATTCCTTTTTAAAGTGCATGTGAAGAAATTCTAATGGGTGAATTTTGGAAATAAGTTGTCCTATTAATTCATATAACCTGGAATCATAAAAAAAAAAAACCATAAACATTGTGTGGGAGAAAATGAACAGAACCTTCCAGGCAAATGCAGCATTGGCTAATAAAACAAGTAAAATCAGTTATACTTATGAAACTGAACATTCCTAGAAATGAAAGCTAACTCATAACAAAAGGGCTACATCAATCAGGAAAAAAAAATCACCAATCATTGTGAGACAGCCTCAAAAGAAAATAGGAATCTATCCTTATAGATTACAGAAACTGCTGGCCACATTTTTAAACTCATAAATAGATTCACTTATCTAGCAAATAATCAACATTATTTAACAATATGAAAGGGTTTATTTATCCCAACTTGATATGTCTCTTATTCCCAGAATTCTTAGCAATGGCTATGTTGACTGGAGAATTGTGTGAACTGAAGTTCACACATCTCCTAGACAGGAGGAAGCCGGTTTTATAGAAAAGCTAATAGTGTTAATAATGTTGGATAGGAGAAGTTTCTATTCAGTTCTGTTCTTATTTATATTATATCTTTGTCTGAAGAACTAAATGCAACATCTATGGTTCTCTCCCTGCCTCATTAATATGCATACTTAGGAACTTTAATTACTCCTAGTTAGGTGCCCTGGTGCAAAAATTCTTCCTTTTACCTGTTATCATAGGGTTTTTTAAAATTTCCTTTCTAAATCACGAATGTGCCCACTTAATGCCATTAATCACAATATACAGCATGTTCCACAATCAGTTTTACTACTTGATCAATTCAACATTAGTTGAATACTTGTTTGCGTAAATGTGTCACCACCGATCAGCAGTTTTATTAGCTGGAACACTCACATTATCTTGCTTCACCTCAGATCCGACAATTTCCAGTGAGACAGATGATACCATTGAGTTATCTAGAATGAGAGGGTGAAACACCATGGTGATGGCTTGTCTGCTAAAAACAAAGCAAGACCATAGCATACACTTGAAAGAAAACCAGGAAGTCTGTATTTGTGGAGTCTGCCTGGCAAGAACAAAGAATGTTTATTCACAAAGAATATGCAGGTCTTATACTTACAGTATCAAAGAGCTAGACATCCTGCATATCTCAGCTAGAAGTTAGAAATAGAGATGGCCTGGAGCAGGGGTGGGTTCCTGCCAGTTCTAACCTCTTCTATAGAAGAGGTTCCACAAATCTACAGTGCTCCCTCCCCCAGCCCTTCCGCACATCATCAAGATGAAGAGTGAGAGGAGGAATTCTGGGAGTCTTAAAGCTGTCAAGTTTGAACACTCCTGGGGTTTTTTTTCTAAAGGGTTAGGGGTGCAAGGGTCTTGTAACTTGACAGCTTTAAGACTTGC